GGGGTGCGGGGCAGGGACCACACCGGGGCCGGGCGCAGTGCGGGGCTCCCGGGTACCTCGGTGTCACCGACCACAACGCTTCCCTCTCCCTCCGTGGTGCTCGACGGCCGTCCCCCTGTCCACAGCGCGCTGGCTGTGCCAGGGGCGGCCGCGGCTCCCGCACCCAGCGTGGGCGCCTGGGGATCCACAGCAAACGCTGCCATCGCAAACGGCCAACACCACTCCGGCAAGAACGGTCCCACTTTTCAAAAATGGCGGAAACTCTCCTCACGGTTAAGGCCGCGCGGCCTTATGGGTGGCGTAACTTCCGACCATGCTCTCTGCGGCGGCTGTGGCTGCTTCCGCCATTTTGGAAGAGGGCAAACTTCTTTGCCTGGGCTGCGAGTCTAAGAAAGGTTCTTACTAGGGATGCAAGGAACACTAGGAGACCTCGTTCTACGAGAATGGCTTTGGTCAAGCCTCAGGCTTCCTGATATGTTGGTGTTTGTGCTTCATAGAAGAAATTTCTAATCCCAGCACTTGGGAGGCAGAGGCTGGTGGATCTCTGTGAGTTCGAGACCAGCCTGGTCTACAAGAGCTAGTTAGTTCTAGGATAGCCTCCAAAGCCACAGAGAAACCCTGTCTCAAAAAAACAAAACAAAACAAAAAAAAACAAACAAACAAAAAAAAGAAAGGAAGGAAGGATGGATGGAAGGAAGGAAGGAAGAAAATCTTTGCTCACTTGATAATATTAGTGTGAGTTTTCCCAATGCACTGTCCACTTTCCTAACACCTGGGAAAGTAGGCTTAATGAAACTGTATATTCCTTTTTCTCAACTTTGTTTCTGCACTTGATATAGGACGTTCATTTCTCAAAGTATTCTTCTATCTAGATGTCATTTCTATTAAATGTTGTGTTATGTATGTAGGCACAATTTCATATTAAATCACAACCAGTTTGTTGTGTATTAATACATACAGAAGAATATAGACTTTAAAAATATGTAAATAAAGGTCATTCTGCCCATGACATTCCTGTCTTCCCCCTTCATCCTGCTGTTTTTTCCTTAGGGTATATTCATGTATTAATGATACACATGTACATAGGATGCATAAGTTAAAATGTTTAAGTTTCACTGTTTGCAAACTTAATTAAAAAATTAATGTGCTTCGTGTTCTATATTCTGGAATATGCTCTGAGCCTTTCCCAACCTTCCCAAAACATTGACATATCTTTTGCTATTTCCAAGCTTTCTAAAATCCTAAATCTGGGAGGATTTTTATTACTGTAGTCAAATGATAGTATTGTGGTGATCAAGTCCACTGGGAAAGACCAAAGACTTAGACTAATCAAATCTGGATTAAATTGATATATTCTTCTTACTGTTAGCAGAAGGATGACAATTTTAGAGCCAAAAAGCATGCTAGGCCAAATGAAGCTAAAGGAAGGGTTCATAAAGGTGGGGATTACAATTATCTTGTGCTTTATGGAATCCATGACTGGGTGAGAAAACTGCTTTATTCTCTCAGTTATTTCTCTTTCCTGTTAGACAGTGATAAGAAACTATCTCGTCACAGTTCCACAGTGACAAGAAGGTTTTCAAAATTGAGAGCAAGCAGTTAATTACCTCACAGCAGTAACATCTCCAGGTCACTAGGCATTTCAGGAAAAAGATCAAGGGCCCTTGAGGGGTGCCTGGTACTGTGTTAAGTTTCTTAGCCATCAATGGGGAGCCATGTATTAATTATCACACAGGCCTGATCACTCTGGGCAAAGTGTCACTAGTGGCTGGGATAAAGCAGTTTCTTCCTGAGCCGGCAATAACACAGTGCCATCAGGTTGGCACTGGCTGTTCCATTCCCACAATAGAATTCCAACATTAAATGATAGATTCTTGTCGGTTTCCTGTCTATATCACTCCTATGCTGCAGCGGCCATCTATTCCAGACTAATGTCTTTGGGGCTGTGTTCAGAACCAGCTGAATAGCCCCGGATCAGACCCTGACTCGGAGAGTGTGGATCAGGGAAGTCCTAGCTTCCCAGCAGCATTAAGGTCATCTCAGGAGGGCTCTCACTCAATACTGGAGACCTCGGTTTATTCAAGCATCATCTTAAATAGCTTTCCAAAGTGGGGCTACTGGCAGAAGACATCTATTATCATGTATAAGGCTGATACCAAATATTTCCTTTTTTAAAAAATTATTTATTTATTATGTATACAATATTCTGCTTCCATGTATATCTCCACACCAGAAGAGGGCACCAGATCTCATAACGGATGGCTGTGAGCCACCATGCGGTTGCTGGGAATTGAACTCAGGACCTCTGGTAGAACAGCTGGTGCTTTTAACCTCTGAGCCATCTCTCCAGCCCTTCAAATATTTCCTTTAATCCTCAAGATGCTCCAAGAACTGCAAGTCCTCACTAGCCTTCAGGCACATCCCCCTCACCCTCAGGGTGGGTGTGGATATACCCAGGGCCTAGGTCTTTTGTTACAAAAACTAGGAGCCATTCTCCACCATGGCCAGGCCATCTGGAGGTAACCAGCCGATATTTAAAAGACAACCGGAGATCTGAGCTCCTGGAATTGAGCTGAGGCTTATTTCTGAAATATTTATTCGGGACCCCAACAATTCCTAGAATTCAATTTTGTTTTTGTTGTTGTTGTTGAGACAGGATTTATGTGTAACAGCCCTGGTTGTCCTGGAACTCGCTCTGTAGACCAGGCTGGCCTTGGAGATCCACCTGCCTCTGCCTCCCAAATGCTGGGATTAAAGGCCACTTCTGCCCAGCATTAGAACTCAAATTTTAAAACCACTTGCAAGTTCAACTTACTTAAAAAAAAAAAAAAAAAAAAAAAAAAGAAACCCTGCCTCGAAAAACCAAAATAAATAAATAAATAAATAAATAAATAAATAAATAAATAAGCTTTCCTAAAGATCAGAGTACAAAGCTAGCCACACTAGCTAGCCTTAGAGGCCAGGCAGTGGTGGCACACACCTTTAATCCTAGCAGCCACACTAGATATCTATTAAGACCAGTCAGTAATGGTTCACACCTTTAATCCCAGCAGTTGGGAGACAGAGGCAAGTAGATCTACTGGGCAGCTGGTGCTACATAGAGAAACCCTGTCTCACAAAATAATAATAAATAATAATAATAATAATAATAATAATCAAGTAAAAGTGATATATATCTATATAACATCATTTTGTATATAGAAAAGTGGGGTGGGAATAAAAGCAAAAAGGTGGGAAATATTTTCAGCAAATTTAGCAGCAGACAGTAGGAAAGAGAGTTGTAAACTGAAGAATTTAAGAAATTCTTAAGGGGCTGGAGAGATGGCTCAGAGGTTAAGAGCACTGACTGCTCTTCCAGAGGTCCTGAGTTCGGTTCCCAGCAACCACATGGTGGCTCACAACCATCCGTTATGAGATCTGGTGCCCTCTTCTGGTGTGGAGATATACATGGAAGCAGAATATTGTATACATAATAAATAAATAAAATCTTTTAAGAAAAGAGAGAGAAGGGTTTATAAGCCAGGTGGTGGTGGCCAGTACCATTTAATCCCAGCAATCAGGAGGGCAGAGGCAGGAGGATCTCTGTGAGTTCTAGGCCACCCAGGTCTACAAAGCGAGTTCCAGGATAGCCAGAGCTGTAACACAAAGAAATCCTGACTCAGAAAAAAATACAAACAGAAGAGGAAGAAGGAGAAGGAGGGAAGGAACAGGGAGGAAGAAAAATGGCTTATAGGTTAGTTCATATAACTTTTATTTTAATTGCAGTTTTCATTATATTTTAATCTGTTTTCCTTGGAGAAAGTCATTGTTTTCTCTCCATGAATTTCATTCTTTACCCTTCCAGCTGGCTCTTTCCTGATCAAGACATGAAGATGCAGTGTGCTGCATCTTAAAACCCTCTCCACTGATGCTCCTTGCAGCCCCTACATCCTCATCTCTCCCTCATGCCAGAAGTCTCTCTGCTTTAACATATGTATCTGTCTGTCTCCAGATGCCTTTTGTTCTTTGAATGCTACACTTCTCATAATTTTCTACCCCTTGCCTTTCTTTTCAACAGCTATTTATAGCCTGGAAACACTTTTGCTGGTCAAACCTTTTTTCCTCTCCTTCAAAGTCTCAGTCATATCCCTCGAAATCTCTATCAGTTTTCATACTCTGTAAATAATTTCCAATACTATGTGCCCAGTCTCTGCAAAGCCAAATGCCGCTTTCCAGATTCTTTTGTGACAATCTATCAATCTGTCAGTACATCAGCCCCAGTGTGCATACTTAAAGTCCTTGTAAATTGGATTCGTATTTAATCACTAGATTTCATTTTTTATAAAACAGAAACAGTATCATGATGTTTAATGCATGCCCAGTCACCTTTGTTTTCACTGATCTCTCCCTTTTCTGCCATCATGTATTAGGGTACCAAGTCTCCTTCTTTCTGCCTCAGTTTCTAGACAATTGCACCTAATCTTCCCACTCTGTCACCTTCAGTTTCTTCCACTGGGCCCTTTGCAGCATTAGCCAAAGCTCCCCTCTTTATACAAACTGTCTGGATATTCAAATACCTTCTCTGGGGGATAAGAATATAGTTAAGTCTGGGTTTAATCTCTAGCACCCAAAGAAAACAAACGTCTTCCTGGATTCCTTGACCAACAGGAACCTCCTTTTCTTCAGCTTTAACAAGACTGCTATGTGCAACTTATTTTACAACTAATAATAATAATAATATCCCAATATCCTTTTGTTTTACACACACACACACACACACACACACACACACACACACACACACACATTCTCATCTGGGTAACAAGGAAAGTAAATTTTGAATATCTCAGAGTGGGAGAGTAGAAGTACATCTTTAATTTAGAGATTTCAGTAGGCACTCTTGGAAGCACTTAATTGGGAAGAGGGAACGGGCTCTGTGGGTTAAGCCCCTGCCACGAAAGCCAAAGGATCTCAGGTTGGATACCCAGACCCAGGAAAATCCTGGCACATGGTAGCATGAGTCTTTAGTCCCAGCACTCTTACAGTGAGATGGGAAGCAGATCAGAAAATCCCCAGATGGTCTTTGGTCAGCTAACCTGATATACACAGTCACAAACATGAGATTCTTATCTCAAACAAGGTGGAAGGTAAAAACCAAGACACAAGGCTATTCTCTTACCTCCAGTGTGCGCCGTGGCATGTACACCTACACTCATACACACAAACTCACTGCCCTATGTGGCAATATACAATTTAGGATTTATTAAAGCTTGCCTGATGGTGAAAAAAAAAAAAACAAAGCCAGCC